GGGAAAGGGGCCTGTAACTTTGACTTTTCCTCATTGTTTGATTTATGTTTTCACTCCATTCAAAGTAGAAGAAAAAACCTATAATTAGGTGAAGTTTCCAAAGCAGAGCCATTAATTTAAGCACAAAATCCACAGAACTGTGGGAATTACTTTATGCAGCCAATACATACTGACATTTCCCAGTGGGATAGAAGTTGATGAACACAGTGAATTGTTTTTTTCCCTCCAGACAGACTCATCTTGGAGAGGTTACTGCTATCACCTGCTAATCAGTAAACATGTGGGTGTTTTACTTATCCTTTGAAGGAACTAAATCCCTCATGAAACAAATGGGACAATGCTTGTGCTTTATTGCTGCTGCTTTTTGTGTGTTGTGTTCGAGCCTTGGTGTTGCCAGTGCAGCCCTTTCAGGGAGGCTGGGTTAGGAGCTGACTGGCTGTTCAGCTGTAACTCTGCTTTATTTGCCCACTGACAGTTTTCCCCTGGTGTTTTCCCAGACCTGCTAATTATACTGGTAGTGTCGGCCCTGCGCTGCTGGCTCATTTGGACCTCGCTCACTCGTCCTGATGAAAATGGCACGGAGCTGGTGCAGATCCTAAGAACAGTTTTCAAAGCAGATATAGCCAGAATGTTGCTCTCGTCTTGAATAAGGAAATGATTCGGTTTTGATAGATCGCATCTTTAGAGAATCCCTGTTTTCTCTCTTAAAGATGATTGCTTTGATTTTATCATGATAGGAGGTTTGGAAAAAAATTGGAAAGTAGTTCTGAGAGGGTGTGTCAATAGGCGATCAGCATAACTGCTTTAGAGCAAAACCGTCTCACTTTAAATTTCAGCATTAACTATGGTTAATGTTAATGTCCACAGCAAAAACACCTTCCTAATGCACTTGGTATTTAGCCCCTAACTATTTTCTTTTCCTGTTTTGGGTGCCAGAACTCCTTTGTATTGAAACTCCTCCTATTTCCTGCAACCTTGTCAATACGATGTTTCGTCAATCCAGAAGTTTGTGGCGTACTGAAAATAGAAATGTCTTAAAAATTAACAAGTAATTGTATTTTTAAACAAGTATACAGGAAAAATGTTGGATAAACCAGTGAGTGTTTCATAGAAGTGTGGCAATATCACATAAACAAGCAAAACTTTTAATTTTGTCTGCGTGAGTAGAATAACGAGGATAGTCTGGATCAGGCTGCCACAAGGTTATTGCTTTTGACAGGAGCTCTTCAGTGAGACACAGAGGTGATCAGAAAATGAAATTCACACCAGAAAGCCAGCTGACATCACCATCAGCAATTTCATGCTTGTCCATCACGGTGCTCCGGTCGGGCTTTTTGACAGCTCTAATGCTACGATTGCAACATCAGCTGGGAGCAACGGATACAGCTGGGCATCATCTGCGGAGGAATCGAAGTCTAGATTGTCTTGTGTGATAATTGTGTTAGGAAGCAAAGACTCCTTGCCAAACACCAGAAAATATCTGCCATCAACACATAATAGAAGGCAGGGAAGGCCAGCATGGTCTTCAGATGCAGTAACAATCTGGAACTGGTCAATAGCTCATAAAAACAAAGGGAAAACAAAACATAAAGCCTTGTTGTGTGTCTGTGTGATTTCAACAGAAGTTGCTGAGATTAAGCCCCACAGACCTTTCAAGGGTTTAGTTTAGGATCTCTGTTACCTCTTGCACTAACTACCGCTTGAAAGCATGTTTGGAAGTGGAAGGGAAGGAGTGGAGCACAACATCACCAGGGAAGACAAATGAATAATGTCGGAAGGAAATGTAGGAGGGTGACAAAAGGAAACTATTCATCAAAAGGGTAGTGATGGTAAAATGCAAGATTTTCCTATGAGAATTAAAACGGAGTTTTAAAAATGCTTCTTCATGCTGTGAAAGGAAAGATAAAATTGTTGAATCAGTGAATCCTCCTGGACCACAGCTCATCTGGGTGTCAGCCGTGTTAAACATGATGGGACGCTGTAGAGCTGGTCATGGGTAATGTGCTTTCTGGTACTGGTTAGGAGTGGCAGCCCATGGCTTAGCAAGGTTTTTATGCTGTTTCTGTATGTTCTTCTCAAAGACCTTCAGTTTCTGTAGTTCTGTTCTGGAAGGAGATCTTACTTGTTTTTAACAGTTATTAAAAATAGCACCCTGTCCCACAGAGCATCACATAAAACAGTAAACTCCTCCTCTCCCCGCAAAACTAATGCCCCACACCCCAATCAGATGAACAAGCCCTGAACGTTTCTTGTAATTACTGTACTTATTCTCCTGGTATTTTTTGCATACCGATGAAAAAAGTCTTGAAGGTATTTTTTAGGGGGAAAAAAAAAAAAGACAAAAAAAAAGACCCCACCTGGTCTAGTTTGTTACTCAGATACCTGTTTCTTGTCGTGTGTGCATGAATGTGTGCTAAACTCAGGCCTAAAGTCCTGAGCTGACACGTAGGACTAAGGCTGTCTGCTTATTTACAGGCTCCCTCCTCTCCTTTTCATTCTTCTCAGCCTTGTGTTTCTCAGTGCACAAATGATATGTTTACAGTTTGGATCTTTAGATCTACAGGCTTTAGTTTTAGAGTATGAATTCACCTCCATTAATTGCGAGCTGTATTTAATATTTATGCTAAAAAGACGTGAGGAGTGTTCCAATGAGAGTGTTCTCCTTTGAAAAAAAGGAGCTGACAAATTACCAACCACTCTGGTTATAGTGTCTTGTAAAGATGCCAGCAGGCAGAACATGATTTAAGGTGCACATTTTTGCAAATCAGCGCCTTCATAACAACACTGAAAGGAGAGAGAAAGAGGTATGGGGGGTCCGTGTTAAGATTAATAGAGCCTCTTATCTTTACTTAGTGCGGAAGCTCCCAAAAAGGATGAGTGTGTCAGATCACTGGTTCTTTCTTAATATTTTTTCTCCTTTTGCTTGCTTTTCTTCATTGTTGTAATCATGCAAATGATGCCATTCATTGTATCCATCTTGCCTATTGGCTTGAGATGCTGAATATTAATTGAGCAGCATGATACCTGTTTTTCAAGCTTCATAGATAAGCAAAACATTTTTATATTAAAGTGCTTCATCCTCTTTTACTGTGATATTTTAAGACTTTCTTATCTTGGCCTGTCGTAGCAGAAAACCTAAAAAGCCCAAACTTCTGAGACCTTGATTTCGTTTATAAACAGGCTTTCAATAGCAGATTTTTGTAGAGGTATGTATACGGTTGTCTTGCTCTTAAATGTGGTTCTTTATTTCAATACATTGGCTTTAATTTTTTTAAGCCGTTGTGATTCTGGATTCTCAGTCTCTCTCTGCAGGACTGGAGAAGAGAGGAGGAAACAGGCTTTTATCTTTCAAAGGACAGTTGAAAGTCTTTTAGTTATTATTTGGCCTTGCTTCAAAAAAATGCACTTTTGAGTATGACAAACTAGCTACTACATAGGCACCTTGAATTTAGCCGAGTAAAAATGTTTTTGAAGTATTGGGGGTTTTTAACAGGGTTTTTTTTCTCAAACATAGAAATGTGCTCTGATTTATGTGCTTGTAGAGCTGTATAGCTAGGAACAATAATGTACTGTCCACAGCCAAAGTTGTGGTGGTATTGAATATAAAATTTTTCCGAAAGCAAGGGTTGGTTGCCAGGGGCTCTCAATCAGTTTTCCCTCTTCTTACCCAGCTGTGTGAATATCAAATTCCTGGGACCTTTGTGCACTTTTTTCTTGAGGGAATGTTGTTGTCTTAAAGCATAAGCTGTTTGAGGTGAGGTTATGAAATATTGTTATATTCATAACCCTTCTTTAGGGATGGGATGCAATACAGTCTGGTGTAACCTGGTGCCTGATTTTAACAGCTAATAATTAATAAGTTAATTTAAAAGTATGTTAGTGTTATGCTAGATTGCTTTGATTTTTTTCCCTGTTTTTATCTATCACTGAATGTTGAATAAAATTGTCATGTACTTGCTAATTGCACATTTATTCATTTTTCTGTAATTCTGTAGGTTTCTGTAGTCTCTTATAGTATCCGCAGGTAACTAGTCTACTTTTAAAACTGCTGTGCATTTAGTCAGCAGTCTTCTGTACGCCTCTTATATGTGAAGAGCAGGCAAGAACTGTTGAGCCATCGTTGCGTTTATGGCCTGGTGGAACCAGTAATGGTGGTGAGCTGCTGGGATGGAGAGATCTGCAAGTTCAAAGTAAACTCGTTCCTGAAAATGAGTATGCCCATAGCGTATGTAGTATAGCTGCAAGAAGTTGGCCATGTTTCTTTTTGAAGACAAATTTTTTGCCATAAAATTTGTCACTGTGTCTGCTGTGGGTCCATCTAGAAAAGGCAAGACTCCATCAGGTTTAACATACTTGCAGAGGTGTTGGCCAGGCTTCTTTTATATCTGTCTTATTGATAGAAGGGGAACTAACTAGTCAGGCCTTAGGAAGAGGATGAGGCTGCTACTATTCTTATTCTTATTCCATGAAGGATAGCTATCTGAACTTCTGGTATTTTCGTTCCTTTTAAGGCTTGAAGCAAGAGCTGTGTCCCTTTTCTGGATGGGAGGGAAGGAACGTTTCAGTATGAGATTTGAGGTTTACTGAATATCTGATTTTTACAATTTTCTGTCTCTAAGAGGGCATTTTGTTCAGTTGGAGATATACAGGGTATGAATTTGAGGATTAGAGAATTGTGCAGGGTTGTTTTTGAGGCTGGCTAATGTTGGAAACATATTTGACCTTTCTAAGGCATTTTGAATGGTAGTAATGCCCAGATGAAACGGATCAGAGTTCAGAGATGCGATAAACTCAGTCAAACCTGTGTTGTTACTGTATGTGCAATCCCACACACTAATAGCAGACATAGTTTGTTTATTCAGCTCTATAGTAAATATTTTATCTCTCCTTTTTCCAATATAACCAGTTTATATACATGCTTCTGTCTTAACTAGGTGCCTGCATTTTAAATAGATTTGGTTTTACACTTAAAATGATTATCTTACATTTTATGTTACTAGGCCAGGTACAAGCAGAGTCTTGATCCTACGGTGGATGAAGTTAAGAAACTGTGTACATCTCTGCGTCGATAGAGCGGGTACTTTTCCACTACAATGGACATGGCGTCCCCAGGCCAACAGTAAATGGGGAGATCTGGGTCTTCAATAAGGTGCGTCTTTGCGAAGCAGTGCTGACCAGCTGAATCTTTTTCACTGCTATGTAAATTATTGAAGTGTTCTGTTAGAGAACAACTGAATTTTCAGGGTTTAAAATGTGTTCACAGGTATTTGTTTGGTTCCCTGCTGACAGCTATTTGCTTTCTTTGTGTTCTTGAAGTTCTGTGAGACCAAATAGATTGTTCCTCACTTCTCAGCAGGGCAGGAGGGTCTTCTCTCAGATGCACTAAAGCTCATTGCAAAACACCGAAAAGCCAGCTACTTCCACTTGCTTTGTCTGCTTTTCGGAGGTAGCACCCCAGCTCTGTCGTGTCTGGAGCAAACGGTAAGGCTCCCCGATGGACTTTGCTGCCTTATGTCACTGACTGATGATTAAGTTCTCACTGTAAAGTTTATGCTTAAAATCTCTACTAACTCTGAACAGCCGTTGTTCAAACTACGTAGAGATACTGCATGAGGAGGACAATAAACCATATGGCTAGCTCTGCTTCCAGAGCACAGAGTACTTAAGAGTCTCTAAGTACAATATAATAAAGACTTTTAAAGACTTTTGTTACTCCTGCTTAGCCGTGGTTTGTAGCCATGGTTTGTACAGCTATGCAGATCACATGCAACACCCTTCGAGTGATTCACCTAAATATACTTTGCTTTCCCTTTAGTTAAGCTATTTAATGTCTATTAAGGGTAACTGATTTAAAATGCAGTCTTAGGAAATTGAGAGATTCTGCTCGTAGCTGAAAAGTACATGCAGCTGACAGGACTGGCATTCATTATTACAGATATGCTCCTATTTTATTTTGAAGGCTTCTTTTCTCATACTTCACATGCATTATTTTTATAATTGAATGAGCATTCACTGGTAATTTGAAAGAGCAGGGTAGAAAGGAAGGGGAGAAAGTGCAAGAGGGCATCACTTTATTCTGGTGCATCTATATTGGAGACTTGATTAGTATTCAGACCAATAAACAATTGGTCTGAATACTAATTCATTTTGAAGCTGAATTTGGTGTTTAAGAACAAATAGGAGTGACCTTCTTCTTACTTAACAGCCAGCAGGTAATAAATAAGCCAGAAAGAATGCCGGGCAGAATGTGTTACACATGGAAGAAAGGAAATTACTGCTCAATGAAGTTGTGTGTTATGCCAAATGCTTTATTAAGAGCTTACTGGGTATTTGCCAGTTTGCCTGCAGTATCAGCTGGGGTAATGTGGTGTGGATGCCACTGGTGATCAGGAGCTGAGGTCTCTCTGGAAAAAAAAAAATTGATTGCCATAGAGGTTGACGGGGAAAGTTGAAACTTGGTAATTTTTTCAGCGTGTTACCAAGTATTGGCTTTTTTTGGAAAGAAAGAATCAGGAGCTGAACTTTACTTTTAAGCAAAGGGTTAAATTTAAGGAAATACTGGGGGGAAAAAAAGCAGTGTTTAGAAATCAGTCCTAAGGAATTTGGTCTCAGAACTAAGCAGAGGGCCTAATGAGGCTCAGTATTACAGCCCTCTTGAATTGAAGTAGTAGAGGTACTGAAATTTGACTGCGCTGACATTTTAAAATTGGATTTAAAATGCTCATGCATGCACTTGAACTCTCAGTTATAAGAGCATGAAGGCAGAGCTGAAAGGGACCTTGAGATCATCCAAGTGAGGGGCCAAAAGGAGTGAAACAGGCCTTGCTGGTGGATGTGGCGTGTTACAGGCTGACCTGTGTTTGTCGAAGGAAATAAAACGTGTTGGATTTATACTGACTTCCCTTGGGGGCAGGTTGAGCATCTTTCTCCTGTTCCCAGAACCTGAATCATTGGGACGTGTGGTTCTGGTGGGTCGTCAGACTGTTGGCAGGGTTTTGGAGCAGGTGCTGCAGGAGAGTAGAGGGCGGTGGGGCAAATAGGAGGTGCGACATCTGTTTTAATTCAAGGATAGGAGACAACAACGGATTTCAAGAATCTGTCCAGACATTTCACTATGCTTTTTTTCTCGGTCTGTAGATGCTCATTTTTCCTTTCCTTTTTTTTTGCTCCCATAAAATTGGTGTGCAGCCATTACGGGGCTGATGATGTAGGTGATGACAGAGAGGACTTCTCCCACTGCGTTTGAGCAGCCGGCGCTGCCCTCCATGTGCTCCTGCAGCCCAGCCTGGATGCAGCACGGTTGGCAGAGCTGGACGGGTTACCTACCCGGTGCCTTATGGCTGCCAGAGCTTTCTGGGATGCACAGGCTAGCAGACCCAACGCCTCTTCTTTTCTGCCAGTTTACTGTGAGGGGAGGAGAAGTGGAAGCAGCTTTGCAGTGCTGTTGGTAGCTACCACCAGAGAGCCTGGAAACTTAGAGAACCTTAGTATGTGTTCAGTTTTTCCTTTTTCACCTTTTTCTAGTGTTGCATTTGAATCTCCCAAAGTGTGCCAGCAGGCTGTCAGAGACAGCAAATAGATGTAGTTGTGTAGGAGCACTTTGTAAGGATGCTGGAGAAAGTTCACGTAGTATTAGATCTTCATTAATATCTTCCCTTTAATTTCGCAAGAGTTGGTATTTTAAAATTAATTTAGACCTCTGCCCTTGCACAGTTGGTGCTTTGTCTGAACTGATGTTTTAAAATGGTAGTATAAGGAGAATGCTTCTTTTATGTTTTATTATCTACTCTTCTGAAAAACTCTCTCTTGTGTAACTGATTGAATTAGTTGACAGAGGGACCAGCGGATGGACTGACATGTTCTTGAAGGTGTCCCAGGAACACACGAGTGGGTAGCCCTGCTCCAGCTCTGCCATTTCTCTGTCAGTGGGGTCGCGGCGCTGCCAGAGCATTAGCAGATTGTCCCCCTGCTCTGTCGGAGGGAGACCCCTGAATTTGCAGCTGATCTCTGTGCACTGTAAGAAGCCTTTCCCGCACGGCAGGAGTGCACTCAGGAGAGATTAAGCATGGTATATTCTGATACATAGATTAAAAAAGATAAAACCTTCAGGAAGTATCATGTAGCCTGCTTCACTTCAGCTGCACATCTCAGTCACTTTGTTCAGTTAAACGGCGTTCAAATGCTACCGAAAAGGCATGTGAAAGAGGAAGCAGTACGGTACGATTTGGATAAGGCACTTGAAAAGCTAGTAGCTAAACTAACTTGGTCTTTAAAAGCCAAACCTGCCTTCTCTCCTACAGACAATTTTTCCTTGAGTTTAGTTTTTTATAGATTTTGGCAAGTTGTGCTTGCTGTAGCATAAATACCTCTGCGGTTACCTTCACCTTTCAGGCTTCACCTATGCAGCAAGCCTTTCGTTTTGATATTTAATCTAGCCTGACAGATGAAGAGGACAGTAGTAAATAAATAATCTGATACTCATCTGCATTCATTTTATTAGAATTTAAACCTTCTATACATGCTTTGTAGAAAAGAAGATGGTAGTGAGGAATGCCACTGACTGCATTCCTTGCAGCACAGGGTGTGAGTGCGGGGAGGTGCCCGCTCCTCTTCCCCGCACCCTTCCTCCTCCCCTCGAAACACACGCTTCAGAAATTGCTTCAGCTCGGTAACTTCGTGGGGTCAGAGAGAGCATTAAGGGAAGCAAAAAATATTTTCGCTTGTCATTTTTTTTTGCTTAGCTTTTAATCACAGCTGCTCAGCAAATGTAGTGGTGCTCCAAGGCAGCACGTGAAGGTGTTTATAGTGCTTTCGTTTGTTAATTTTTGCTTTGCAGCTCAACAAACAAAACATTCCTGAACTCTTTCAGTTAGAGAGATAATAAGATGTATAGAAAGAACTGGGGATGGATTCCTGTAGGTTCATTGCCACGAGGTTCATTTCCTGAGGTTTCTCAGGGATTCCATGAAGTTCGGAAATCCCAGGACAGAAGCTGAACACAGCAACCTTCTGAGGAAGGTTTTTAGCTTTAGAGAAGTCTCTTTAGAGAATACTCTTCGAGCATTGTTTCATCTTTGATAGGAAATGGAAAGAGAAATTGTACCATGCTTTGGAAGGAATGATTATTTTGAAAATGTCCTTTTTCCTGGGTCTGTTATGTCTTACTGTTGTACAAAAAGACGAGAAATGTGTGCATTGTCAAAAGCAGATGCTGCTGCTGATGTGAGAATATGAAACACAAAATGTGCATCATCATTGTGTTCCTATTAAGTCCTTTGGAAACTATTTACATATCACTCATCCTGTCCACAGCTCTGCTGAAACATCCTCTATTTGACCAAATAAGGGCCAGAAGCTGCAGTCCTCCTTCAAGCTGTAGAAGATTGCCATGGCTCGATGTTTTAACTGGCTGCTCTTGTTGGCACGTGTTACAAGCCAGTACTTAATTATGGAATTGTACATTATTTTACTGTAGGCTTCCTGCTCTGGCTTGCTGTACAGTATTGGCATACAATGGAAGGGTTGAGACAGTCCCTGTAAACCAGTAAATTTGGCATTATCTGGCGTTTTGCCAGATTTTGAAGATACCATAACATGCTTTTCATATATTTATTATGAGTGCTGTTGTATTAATAAGGAGCAATGTTCTCTTTCTAGTTTTGCTTGCTACTGTTTTCTGAGAAAATCCCAATGTGGTTTCAAAAAGGTAGAAAACAAACATGTTTATTCTGAAGTTCTGAGGAACTTCCTGCAAAATCTGAAGAATGGTGTTTTAAAAATATTTTTGAGTTGCTCGTTAAGCAATTGGTTATGAAATTTGTTCAAAGTTTAGTTGTTTGTTGTGTCATTCCTTTAAACAGTCACAGAGGGATGTTGGGAGTTGTGTTAACAGAGCAGAAACTTTCTCGCTAAAAACCAAAGTCAATACTGAGAACAAAACATACAGACAAGTTCTTTCATACTCACAGCCCCAGCATGGCAGAGGCGAGATGATCAAGCATCAAAAGATCACCCTGAGCAACCATGCTAGAAAACTATTATTTAACACTCCTTTTTTCTTCAAACTATCTCATTTACGTATCGTTAGCAAATTTGATAAGTTATATGTGACCCCCACAGTAAAATCAGAACATAAAATTCTTCTGTTTTGAAATATCACAATATTAATCACAGCTATAATCCAATCTTAACTGTAGCAATATGCATTATAAATATAAAGTTAAAACAATGCATGCCCATAAAATCTCATCGATTATATGTGTCAGAGCAGGTTTTTTTATATGTAACTTACTATGATTGGAATGTACTTAAACTGAGTGGTGTCCTTAGAAAAGGTCTATGCCAAGGGTGAGTTGTTCATGTATCATTCTACCCTGCAACAATTTGCAAAGCTTCTAACTCCCTCAACCTTTGGCTTTTATAAACAGTTTTTCCTATTAATTTTAATGAAACAACCGAAACTTATATATGGGCAAAACTGGATTTTGAAATTACTTACTATTTCCTACCGTATCTAACATATGGTTTATGATCACTTCTGTCTTTATATATGCTGATACGTGTCCTTGAAAACTTGATTTTTGTAAAAGTTTACTGGTTTTATTACAGCTATTTTAAGTCTCTTGAATTTAAATGGGAGTTATGATCCCATCCATCATTCTGCTGATGTTAATAGGAACATCACAGCTTTTACTGTAGGTTTTGGGCAGAGTTCAATGCTGTACGAACATGAACAGGTTGCCCTCTGGCTGCAGATGGGAAGGATTATGCAGCAGCCACTGTGTATTTGGTAGGGACTCTTTTCAGGCTCAAATGGCAGAAATCTGCTTTGCTTTATATTTTCAGTTCTGCCACTTAATTTAGGGTGTGGCCCTTAGCTAATTTTAAATGTCTGATTTTTGATCCTCCTTGTATTTTAAGAAGCTCTTGCCTTCAGTTATTTGGGGGGGGGTAAGGTGGACGAGAAGGAGCAAAATACTTCAATTTTACAGAAGCTAAATTGTTGGTACTTCACTTTGTTGAAGGCAGGCTTTGTTGGTTTTAATTCTATTGGATAATTCTGAAAGTTGCACAGAAGTTAAAGGCTGTAATAAAATTATGAAGCATCTCATTAAACTAGGATGGGGTAGCTGCTGATGGGCTACATAGTCTTAATTATCAATCTTGATTTATTGATGGAGTTTTCCGTTTAAGACGTTTGATGTTAAATTAAAGACAGCTGGTTTACATCCTTTATCAGTGTTGCAGAAATTTGAGATAAAATTGCACTATTAAATGCTAGTTGGGGTTGTTAGCACATATCAGAGCATTCTTTGAGTTTTAGAATTTTAGTTTATAGTTTAGCGTTTCAAACAATACCACAATAAAATCTACTTGTTGTTTGTGTTGGAGTTGGGTTCGTAGTCCTCATTATTGGTAGATGTTGATTGGTATTTGTATTGATTAATATGCCCAATGTTCAATCTAGGTTTTATTTTGTGATTTCAGAAGTGGATTTTTTGTGTGTTTATTTTATTATCTCACCAATGAAAGTTCTGTTGCTTCTTTGCCTCTTTAACTCGAGTGTTTTTTTTCTTCTTATAGAACTATACTCAGTATATTCCTCTATCCATATATGACCTGCAGACTTGGATGGGCAGCCCTTCCATTTTCGTCTATGATTGCTCTAATGCTGGCCTTATTGTCAAGTCATTCAAACAATTTGCACTACAGAGGGAGCAAGAGTTGGAGGTGAGATCAATCTATTGCAAAGGTTTCGTTTGTGTTTGTGCTGCAGGGTTAAATTTAAGCTTGCTTTGCTATATACAGCTGAAAAATGTGTTTAAAACTATGTTGGAAGGCAAATTAATTTGCAAATAATTTTGCCACTCCAATCTTTCTGGTTGAGTTTGCTATCCTATTAAACTTGGAATAATTTTTAATACAAGCACTAATTAAATGGTAATGTTAATAGAATCAATTTGTGCCCTAATGGTCTTTTCTGCTGGGATAAATGCTGAGGTCAACTAGACATATTTATTTTAATGCAAAAGTCTAGTATTTGGGTATGTATTTGGATGTAGTTAGAGTTTTGTGCTGTTGAACTGAATGTGAAAATGCGAAACAAAATAAAATAAACCTGATACACAGAGGGATTGTCACTGGTGGTTTCAGTTTCACAGACTGCTTAAGTTGAATGTGTTTCTAATGAAAAGCTGTCTTTCATTGCAAACGTAATTACTAATAAATTTGTTGAAGTAAATCTGAAATGCAAAGTGGAAGGTAAGAAGTCAGGATTCTTTGTGCAGCAGCTTGGGATGGCAAGACTCCCCATTGCCAGAAATTCCTGCTAGCTTTAGCTTACATAGAAAGCACATTTTTTAAAAGGTTAACTTTTTACACTCTTACAGTTCTGAGACATTGTATTTTTAAAAAATAGAACAACCAACTTCAAGGAAAGAATATTCATTAATAAGGCAACTGACTGTCACAAATACAACCTTCAAGCAGATATTAACAATATCCTCTGGTTTTTTATTTTGCAAAATATCTGAGGTTACATAGGAAAACTGGTTTAGTATTTCTTCTCTTTGCAACACAGGTTAAAACTACCAGTTAATTTGATTATGAAAATACTTTCAGGGTTGTATATCAGCTCTCCATTTTGTATCTTTAGATGTCATTCGCTACTGAAGTCTTACTGAGACTTACCTGCTTATTATTAATAGAAAGCAGAGGACTTGGTAACAGAGATAGAAAAGTGCTCACAGTGTCGTACAAAGCATGGATGAGAATTCATTTGGAAAACTAGAAACTATTGAATTGTTCAAATTCATGAAAAGTGAAGTAAAGCTGGAACTGGTACTCAGAGGGGCTGCTAGAGTGATCAAGATAATTGTTAGCCCATCTTACTGAAAGGAGATTAGAGGAGCTTGCCGTTCTCTTAATCTGACAGAGTGAAGGCTGAGGGAAGCCATGGCTGTTTATTTTATTTTTTTCGGGATCCAGTTTTTTTGGATAGCACAGAGCACTGGCCAGGTGCCATCAGATTATACATAGTTCCACCAGAAACATAAAAATTAGTTACAACGTACTTACAGGTACGTTTGCAACCCCATTATATCTGATTTTCATTGTTCATGGAATATAAAGTCTGATACTCTTTCTTAATGTAAAATCTAAATCTTGTTCAGTCTCAAAAGAGAGGAATCACAAAAAGAGATGATAACTTGGGAGTGATAGAAAAGCAGTTAACGCTTCTCTAAGATACCTGAGAAAAGATAATGTTGTAGCACTGCATGGTACATTGTCTTCTTTAAAGAGCTGCCTGCAAAATAGCACTTGAATAGTAAATACTTTTTTTTTTTTGCCTTTTTTTCTGTAAATAAAGTATGGCTAATGTGTGTGAGTGAAAAGCTGTGCAGATAGAAAAAAGTATATTGGTTTCAGTAAGAAGAAGACTTTGTATACCAGAGGCAGGAATCTGTCAGATCTTATCCTGGTGGACAGATTGCAGTTGAAAATAGTTTTTATCTTTGGCAAGGCTGCTTCTCTGAGGGAGGTAAGGGTGAAGACAGAAGATATAGCTCTGAAGACACCAGAGCCAGTTCAGCTGTAACTGGTTTTTCGTGGGATGGGCAGATGTGGGAGATAATTTTGTCATTTGATTATAGCTCTGTATTGTGTATTTATAGGGCAGCAATTAAGCTCATAAAGTCTACCAATCCCCATAATTCCTAATACGACACAGTGTTTCCAAACTTTAAGTTAGATGCTATTGATATAGGGACTGGTGGTTTCCCTGGGCTGTGGTAGACTTGACTGTTCCAGAGAAATATCTGTAAATTGTTCTAATTTCCAACTGGATGGACAGTTAACCTGAGGATTTGGTTTAATGTCTAGCTAAACAGAAGTACATATTTTGCGGATAAGAAAATCCGTTTATGTGGTTATGATGTGGCACAGTATTAAGTGTGATAAATTAGTTTAAAGGTTCATTTTTCCAGTTGATCCTGCCTTTATTTGTTTTGGTTTTGTCCTGATATTTGTGTTAGAAAGCTCTTGTTCTCCTTTCCCAAAAGACACTTTTCAGACCTGGAAACTGACCCCAGCTTTTAGAAACTGGAATCCCTGCATTGCTTTCCTGATTAACGTCCTGGTTGGCACCACTAAGCACGATAGCCGTAAGGCCAGTGTGAACATTGGTGGTGGAAGAGGGTGCAGAGGGCAGGCACTTGACCGCAGGGCGCTGTAAGAAAATGGCAGGTGACACCATGTCTACGGAGCAGGCAGTAACCGGGTTAGAAAACGCCTCGCTATGCCTGCCCTGGAGCTCTGAGCTCTGCTTGTAACGTGCGGTGGAAGTGATGGCACTGGATGCTCTTAATCATCTAATTAGCTAGCTGATGATTCTGTGAGCGTATGTAAAACACCGTAATTTTGGAGAATTAAGCAGGCATTTTAAGTGTGCTGTGCTAACAATGATAAAACAGTAGGCTGGTTATTTCTGATTAATTTTCTGTGTAATTGGGACATCGTGTTTCCTCTGACTCATACATGTTTCATACAGCAAAGGTCTGCTGTCGTAAGGCCACATTTGAGATGTACAGAAGCGAAGGCTGAAATATGTCTCCTGGATGTGTGCTTTGCTGCACGAGATACAACTTTTTGATTTTCAGCTTTACTGTTTGAATTTTTCAACAGCGTACTTTACAGCTGCATACTAACTTGTTTTCTTCCTTGTGTAGGAATTGGGTGTTGCGGTGGGAGTGCCAGTTCGTTTTCCCCTTCAGCAGGGTATATGACTAACTAGTCCTAATTGGAGCTGAGGAACTCGCAGTTTTTATTTTTCCATCTTCAACATAAATTCTCAAAAAATTAGCTTAATGACAGCAACGCAGAATGTTATCTGGCATTAACATCATGTCTGGGGGGAGAATTTTTCTAATCCACCATCTGCTGGGAGAGAGGAACATCTCCTTTTCTGTAGTTGCATTAATGTCTTCCACAGGGGTTTCAGGAATTGTGTGAAGCTGGCAGGTCTGGTCAACACTTGAAATAACAACTCTTAGTTTCTGTCTTGGGGCAGAGTTCCTCCCAAGTTTACCTTGAACACGTCTGTTAATTCAAAGAGGGTTGGTTTTCTATCAAGTGCTTGTTTCTCAGTCTAATTATATAGGTACGTAAATGTTTTCAGTAACAGTGGTTTAAAATACATATATTGTTTCCCCCTCTGTTAATTACAGGCAGTAATACTTGCAAATCCGTTAGCTCTTCCTCTGGATAGACAGAGCACTTGCAAGTAGCAAAGTGCTCCTTAGCTTGGGCAGCTATAATTCGTTTTCAGAACAAATTAATTACCACCGTCTTATGATAGCATATTTCAGTATAATTGATAAATTAATATTACCACTATTATTTTGTCTGAAAGGCTGTGGATTGTCAGTTGCCCTGAAATAACGATAGGTAACACAATAAGTACTCTGATAGTAAGGAATTTTTACTTACAAAGCTTACGCAGGAAAATATGCATCACTTTGCCTTGAGACTGTGTTTCTGCTGAAAGAAGTTACGAGTTAGTTATGGACTGCTGCAAGGTCTACATCTAACTGATTGCTTACAGAAACTGTTGACATATAAAAAAACCAATTAAAGACTGTAGATAAATGCATATTGATAATTTTGATAACCTTTCATATATGGTAACTTTACATAGTTTATTTACTATTCTTACAATTGTGACTGAGTACATTTTTGCCAATTTATGGTTTTTAATCTTTCTTTAGCCTTCTACTTATTTCATATCTTGCCCTAATAAAAAGTTACATTTATGAGGGAACCAAGCAGTCTAGAAAGTCTGACTTCAGTGGATGTTCTAAGGATGCAAAAATAAATGTTCATAGTGGGCTTTACTTGACCCTCTTTTTTTTTTTTCCTTCCCTCCTTTCTTTTACTTGTAAAAGAATGTTTTGCTACATTGCTATCCCTAGAAGTCTGACAAGAACTGTAATTACTAGCTGGTATTGTATGTTCACTGTATGGTTATTAATAGTTCATCTCCTGATGGACAAATATTTACACTGCATGTGTCACAGCTTCTTTAGTTCATCTTACTGTGTGGAAGTCAAGAGTTGAGGAGGTCTCGGAGTATGAGCTACTTCCCCATCAGAACTGAGGGGCACCACCAGGCCATGACAAATGCCAAGTTCTCAGTGTTCCACACTACTTGGAAAGCGGAAAATGCATCTAAATGTACTTCCTACCTGCGGAGCCCATTTATGAGGATGCCCAGAGGGCAAGTCTTTCTTTAGGAAATGAATAGCCACAGCTAAGCAGTTTGGCTGCTTTATATTTATAAATATCTGTGAAGAGCTAATGCTTTTTCACACTGTCTCTCATACCTTTCTCCTCAAATAAAAGATCTTTTCAGCATTTTAATTACCTTTTTTTTGTTATTAGTGTACAGATTAAGTTTTATTGGGAAGTACAGTAAATATCACTAGAGAGCAAGTGATGACTCGAGTGTAGCTTCATTTCTACCCACGGTATGGCAGGGACAGGCCTTAGCTAATTTGGACAACTTGAAAAAGCCAAAGTGTGTCACTGCTGCCTCTGGGATTAGAATGGAAGAAAAATATATTTAAAGAATCAAAAAACTTAGTAGGTTGCAGAATTTGTGAAATAGCATCTGAAACTTCTCCACAGCTTGTCAGGTTGTTTTGCTCGACAAGAGCTATATGATTGTGCCAGGCTCTGGGTTTGTAAGACAAGTATTCTGTTCCCCTTCGACCCTTCTGAGACACGTCTTCAGACAGACAGAATTTTTCACGTATAAAGATGCTAAAGAATGAGTTTATTAGTCAAATGTATCACCTTACTCATTTGGCAAAAAAAAAAGAAATTGGCTGAAGTGTTGGTCTTTGAAAGTACGTACTTCTGTAATCTTTGATAACACAGCATATAGATGACTTTGACAGGTCTTTGCTTTCTAACTCGTACATGAAAGAGCGATGAAGACACTGCATGGGTTACATTTCTTTGACCTGTTCCTTTAAGAATCTTTGAGTACCATAGATCAAAATTTTGGGTGGCTGAAGTGTTTATTTTGTTTACCTGTTTCAGAAAGGCACTGGAAAGATTATCAATGTTTTTCATTCTGTGAATTATTAGTCTCAAAAATCATACCTGTAATAGAAACTTTAATTAGGAGAATTAATTACTGTGGTTTTGAAAAATGGGAATATTGGTATATACGGTGTTTCTACTTTGTAGACTGATGTTTGGACATATTAATTGACTGCCATAGTGCAGGTCAGAATTTTAGAAACTCAACTTTTTCACAGCAGACTTGACCCTGATTTTAAAAAAATCACTGAATATGCCCATGTGTCTGCTCTGTTTCCCATTCTTTCTTGCCTTTTGAGAATTGATCTACAGCATGTGGAGTGAAAGAGCTGAACAGCATTTATGCAAAGCTCATTCTTGTCTGCAGATGCACAAATGCCATCGGACCGATGCACTCCATCAGTCCATGGCTGGCCTGGAATCTGCAGTAACATGTGTCTCAGTTCTGAGTATTCTAAACAGGTGATTATGCCCAATTAAATACTAACTAATTGAGTCTTGGAAAATGTTGTCCTGTTAGTATAGTTCTAGATCTTGAGATGCAAAGACCTTTCTTTAGAGTTATTTTTCAGTGTTTTGTTTACCTGTTTCAGAAAGGCACTGGAAAGATTATCTTCACTGCTTAGAGCAGAAATTACCACGTTTTTTCCATCCAGAGGAATATGATAAGGACCTTGAACCCTTTTACTAAAGCACTGATTAAAACTTGTATCTGCTGATAGGTTAATACTTGCATTGCAGAAGACAGTGCACATTTCTTTTTCTGGTGGTTTTTTTTTGTTTGTTTGTTTGTTTGGTTTTTTTGAAGATGGCCTCTCTACTTACATACGGTAATTTTCTCTCTTCCTTTTCCCAGCTTGACCTTTTTGCTCTAGTGAAGCAGAAAGGTGTATAGGGAGAAACACAGGGAGTTCAGTATTCTTTTGGCTTACCAACAAATCATCTTTATGCTCCGTGGCAGGAAATGCTGCCTAGTACAGCCAAATTAATTGCATTTTTCCATTTGAAGCTATTCTGCCATCTGTGGTGAATGGTTATGAGCCACAGGAAGGATGGTTTTTGCTTAAATGTAAAAGAAAGAATAATTAACCCACCTTGCTTCTACAGTGCTTGATTCCAAACTGGCAGATGTGAACTGAAGACTCTGAAGTGTTGATCTCAACTCAGTCTGTTGCAGGTTGCTGGTTTTGGTGTGTGGTATTGCTATGGTAAATACACTTAAATACTGTTAATTCTGTGAGTTAAAACTACAGCTGGTGCTACCATAGTCGTAAATTTCTCCGAATCCAGAGATCTGTCAAACTTTGACAGCTTTTCATTGTTTATTTTCAAAATGGTATAGAAATTAACTTTACTGCATTCACCACCTGAGTAATTTCCTTGATCTCTCCAGGTAGCTGCCATTAACCCAAACCATCCACTTGCTCAAATGCCTTTGCCTCCCTCGATGAAGAACTGCATTCAGCTGGCAGCATGCGAAGCCAATGAATTGCTACCCATGATCCCTGATCTGCCAGCTGACCTTTTCACATCATGCCTTACTACGCCGATCAAAATTGCCCTGAGATGGTGAGTATCTTCCCCATTATTGAAGGCAAGTGCATAACTTGTGTAGCTTGTCTGTTGAAATGATAGATTTGTTAATCCAAGTGCTTCATCTAACCTAAAGTTTCTCTGCAATATTGAATTACAGGATTTGAACTATGCATTTGGGACAGCGTTTTATTAATCAGAACTAGAAAGGTGAAAATATTGTTATCTTCTACTTACTACATTTTAGATTCCAGCTCAATATCTAGGTTTGCTCAGATTAAGGGATTTACTGTTCTGGGAATTAAATATCTGCTTCTTCAGAGAGCAGAAATCAGTACATAGTGCAATACAACTTTTTGTAAATTGTCCTTTGTACGAATCATATTCCAAATATTGCAGTTCCTGTAAATAATACAATAGCATTAAATAATGCTGTGGTGAAAGGAATTGAGCGATAAACCAAAGAAAGATGTTATGGAATGACACACCAAGTTAATTAGGTAGAAAGATATAAAAGGCTGCTACAGATAGCAGGAGCTTTCAAAGAGCAATATTTTTACCCAACAACAGAGAAGATAACGAACAATTGTGGTGCCAGGTGAGGACATGGTGCGAGGAATCCAGTGTGTGCACCCCGGTACGTAGCTCTGTCGATTCATTCCTATCAGCACATTTCACTTGATCCTCTCAAGGTTATATGTAGTCCAGAATGAAAAACTTCAGGTCACTTACTAGACTAGGTTAAAACGGGCAGAAGCCTATAGACGTTGCATACAATGGTAAGCAATTGAGTGACCACAGCTTCAAGAGTTATTAGCTGTCTTTTGGAGATACCCGTA